GGTTCCTGCCCCCTTGGGGAGAGAAAGATGCCACCTTTGGTCGCATGTCAGTGGAGAACCTTGGTCTGTATTTCCAGCAGCTGGACTCCCTGGTCTGCCTGGAACTGGCTGCCCCTCTCCTGCCCGGGCACCTTCTAAGACTCCGATCTTGCCTCATCTCCAGAAACCCTGACCAGACCAGGAGTCTTGTTCAAGGCCCTGAAATGGACAAACACAATGGGCCCCCCTTCCTGCCCGCAGCGGCCTCCACCCCAGCAGCCCCGACCTCAGATCCCCAGGGCATAGGGGTCCATGTCCACCCTGCATCAGTGCCCCTGGACCTGACGTAGAGCCGCTGCAGATGATGGGGGGCGGGGGGACATTATGTGTAACTTCCTTAGGAATTGTGAGGCCACTGGGTCACATGTCACGCCTGCCCCCTTCCTGGGAGGGACAGGCCTCTGATCCTTCCTTTGGGGGAGTTGAAGAGTGACTTCTTAAACCGCTGCTGACTCAGATTGAAGCTGGTGTGAACTAACGGCTGAGTGCCTTGGAAACTGCCTGTGGGGCCCCGGGCCCAGCCCCTTCTCCCCCCACACCTGTGTGAGCAGCCCCGCAGGCTGCCCTGCTCCATCAGAGACCTGGATGAGCAGGCGTTAGAAGAGACCATGACAGCCCGGAGGAAATAATCCCTAATGATGGATTTCAGGCACCAAGGATGACAGGAAGGGAGGGGGTGGGCCTGCACTGGGGGACCACACTCCATGGTAGCACCTCAGTGCAGGGTGCCAGGAGGCCGTGACGCGTACAGGTGGCTGGGAGCACGCATGCCCGCCCCTCCCCTCCCCTTCACCATGATCCCCTCCAAGGGGCAAGACGGAGCCCACACTGCAAACCCCCAGAGAGGACCCGAGACCGCTGGAAACCAACATTTTATTGAGCTCTCCTCACCCCTCAGAAATCTACCCCAGCAGATTTTCTCTTTGCCATGGGCATCACAACCCCAGGGGTGTGACCAGCACTCCCCCCGTTGCCCGCTACTGGACCAACCCACTGGAGGACGGCCACGCAGAGTGGGCTGGGGCCGGAGAGCAGTTAACCAGCGAGACCCCAGAGGAATAATGAATTCATCTGTCTTACAAAAAAAAAAGAAAAAAACAAGTATGAAGCCTCGCGCGAGTGTCCCAGCACTCACGAGTTTAAATATAAAAAAGGAATCATAGAAAACAGTTAAAAAGACAACAAAACCAACGAAGGCCACCTCCAGGGTGGTGGTCCAGGGGGAGGGGGCCAGCCCCGCCCCGCACTGCCAGCAGCGTCACTGGAGGAAATGCCGGCTCCAGTCCAGCAGCAGCAGCAGCAGCAGCAGCGCGGACAGCTTGCGTCCCCCGTTCAGGGACACCTGTAGGATGAAGGTGGGGAGAAGTGAGGCCCCCCTCCCGGGCTGGAAGGGGCTTGCTCATTCTACAGCTTGCCTCCAGAGCCCACTCTGTGCATGAGACGGAGGTGACGAGGGAGTCAGCTAAGGTGGGGGCACAGGAGCACCTTATTTCAGAACCAGAGGTCGGGGACAGGTGCACCAGGAAGATGAGGGCAGGAGGGGTACAGGAGGGGCAGGAAAAGAAAGCGGCCCTGAGGACACAGCAGAAGGGGGGAGGCTGGCCCACCAGGGGCTTCTGGGAACCGGGATGATGGGATGAAGGGGTGCAAGGGACAATCCGCTGTGCTGGTGGGACAATTGGAAAGTGCTCACGAAAGCTGCTCAGGAGAAGAGGCTCGTACCCTGGGCAGATGAGGGAGGGAGGGAAGATGTCTGCCAGATGAAGGTGCCCCTGGCAGAGGGCAAAGCATGAGCACAGGTGTGAAGCAGGCAAGGCCCTGGAGGACTCATGTACCCAGTCAGTAAGCCCGGAGTCCCAAACCCCAAGGCCTCTGGGACCAGGCGGGCTAGACAATAGGGGATGTCCTCCAGAGCAGCTGCTCCAGGGCGCCGGACTGTCGTCAAGGCTTACCCTGTCCCTGTAAGTCAGGAAGCTCCAGAACCTTCTGTTCCCCCTGAGGTTAGTGAGGCCATCCATAAAGCTTCTCAGAACACCCCTCAGGCCTGTCTGGTTGTAGGTGGTTGCCAAGCTGTAAGGTAAAGGGGAGAGGGAATAGGCCATTACTGCAGGGAATAGGGGTAAAGATGGCCTTCATTTTAGGTGACAGCTGTGGGAGACAACAACTATCTCGCTGTCTCCTCTCACTCTCGCCCCCTCCCCCAGGTTGCTCTACCCGTGAGGGCCTCTCTCCACCGGCCGTTTCTGGTCCCACATTCACCTGACTTCCTGTTTTTCCTCACCTGCCTGCCAGATCACTGGAGTCTGGCCTTGCATTCTAGACCTGGCCACGTGGAGAACACTCCCTAGCCCACAGGCCCAAAGAGAATGGGTCCAGGGGAGCAGGTCCTCCCTCCAGAGGAGCTTTGTTTCAATAGAGGCCCAGGCTCCACAAAGAAGGCCACCTCCCTGGGGACTAAGCGACCACGTCCACTTTAGTCCTAGTCTTGAAGGGTAAGGTTTCTATGTCCCCACCTTAAGCAATTCTGTGAGGTCTGAATTGGACCTGGCAATACATGGGCGGAGTGTCATCAGGTGAGACGCCTGGTGCAGAAGGCTCTGCCAAGGACATGGACAGCTCCATCTGAGCTCACAGAGCATGTCCTATCATTTAAGTCAAGACCCTTTGACTTGAGGGGAAGGATAGACGGAGCTTAGGTTCTGCTCTGTCTGCTGCCAAGGCAGGAAGAATGAGGTGGCAGCAGGCCAGCTCCAGGAGCAGGTGACTCCTGGGGGCGGGGGAAGCGAGGGTTTCGGCAGCCCGGGAGTGGAGCCGTGTCCTCCCAGGGCCTCCTGGGAGCCGGCCCTGGGCTGGGGCAGGGGCTGGTCACCTGTACATGGCCATCCAGGGCAGCTCAGCAACGCGGGGCAGCATCCACCTCACTTCCATCTCGTCCCCGATGAAGGCCAGCCGCATGGCCATCTCATGGGGGACGTCGCTGTGGGGAGGGTGCAGGAATTGGGGTTATGCCGGTGACCCTCACACACCCAGACCCACCCAGCCAACTGGGCCACAGGTTCACACAGAGCGAGGGGCAGGGAACTTGCACACGTCCTCCTCTGGCTCCCACTTTGCTGTAGAAACAGCCCCTTGAGTCCCGTCCACAGGTAGAACCCCCAGAAGTGCGGGCCCCTGGTAGAGACTGTGCAGGCCCCTCTGTGGGAGTGCAGGGAGCTTCCAGGTTCGATCTGAGCCCTCAGCCAGGGTGGGAGAGAGGGGAGACATTTCGGGCAGTGGGGCTAGGCAGCTGGGGGCTCTGAGACCCCTTGGATCATAGAGGTTGGTTTCCCACAGAGGTCTGAACTTATCCTCCTCCTTGTGAGGTGGGGCTCTGGGACCTGTTTCCTGGTCCCCAACCCTGAAACCACCTCCACGTCATCACCCTTTTCAGAAAGGAGGGGCACACGGGCCCATCTGAGCCCCGCCCACTCTCCCTGAACCAGGTCCTTGATGGAAATGGAGAAACACACTCCCACCCAATCTCAGAGTTTGACAGTCTCCCCTCCCCTTTGGGTATCTGGGAGGGTTTCAGCCCTGCTCTCTGGGGTTTGCCCACACATTCCATCCTGGTGACTACGCAGCTGCCTGGGAATTCCCACACTGCCCCAGCCACCTGCCCAGTCTCCCGGGGTCATGCTCTCGCTACTCCAGGNTGTTAAAGGAAAAAGGCTTTGAAGCACAGGCCTCAAACTGATGCTAATTTGATTGACAGCAGTCTTACTTCTTTGAAAATTCTCAATTAAAACCATGCGCTGACCCGATTCGGTGGCTCAGTTTCTCTGAGTCCCTTGGTCTCGCTCTTAAACTTTACTTCTGTCTCTGACTCTTTATTCAATCTACGCCGCCCCTCAAGAGAAACCTGTTTGCCCTTGCCACGCTGGACGTGACAGTTCCCCGTCCCCCAAATCCCCAATTAAAAAGTCTTTAAAAAAATCTATTTACAAATTATGTTGTTTGCACAGTTCCCAGTTTGAGCCTGTTAGCCCTGATGCGCCCTTCAGGGGAAGGTTTTGGCTTGCGGGGGGCAGGGGGTGTTCTCTAGAGAAACCCCAGATGAGGGGATTCTGATGGGAAGATGCTGTTGTGAAACGAGGCTTGGAGTTGCCTGAATTTTCATGTTGAAGGTTATGTAGTAACATGAAAACAGGCTTATTAAAAATTGAGGGGTAACAGAATTAATGGAAAACTAACACTCATCAGATAGTGCTTTTTTGTTTAGCAGACACTGTCACACCTCCTACCTCCTACCTGATCACTTCCCAGCAACCTTGTGAAGTAGATGACAGTGGCTCTTTTTATGGATGAAAAAAAAGTTCAAAGAGGTTGAGCGATTTGCCTGGGGCCACCGAGCTAGTGAATGACTGAGAGGGGACACAGGACCCAGGCCCCCACACCCACCTTTCCAGCCTCAGATCTCTTTCAGCCACACAGGTCACTCACCTGCCCTGGGGCATGTGTGAATGGTCAGGTCCCCCGAGGAGGACTTCTGGGACACTGACTGCACGACCGATTTTAACTGGACTAAAGAGGTGACTTTTTGCCACGACGAAATGCTGTGCAGATGAGTTCACTCTGCCCAGGCTGTGACGGTGTCCGCGGTGCCCTGCCTGTGTGTCTCCCATCAGATTGGCTTGGCTTACCCCTCCTCCCTTCTCTTCCAGGCTCTGCGGTTTCTCCAGAAGAACTCCTCTAAGTACCACTTCAGACGCACCAAGATGCTGCCGGTCAGTGGTGGCTTCCACACCCGCCTCATGGAGCCCGCCCTGGAGCCCCTGGCGCAGGTCTTAAAGGCCATAGACCTCAAGAAGCCTCTGGTGTCCGTCCACTCCAATGTCGACGGGAATCGGTACATGCACCCAAAGCACATCCAGAAGCTGCTGGTGCAGCAGGTGGTCTCCCCGGTGAAGTGGGAGCAAACGATGCATGCCATATACGAGAGGAAGAAGGGCACCGAGTTCCCCAAAACTTTTGAAGTGGGACCTGGGAAGCAGCTGGGACCCATCCTGAAGAGCTGTAACGTGCAGGCCTGGAAGTCCTACAGTCACGTGGACGTGCTGGAGGCGGACAAGGGCCCGGTCCCGGACCCATAGGGGTCTCCCCATGGCCGCGGGGGGGCGGGGAGGGCTCCAGTGGGCTCAGTCGGCCCCCCAGGAGCTGCACCGAGCCTGCCCTGCCTTCCGATGGGGCCTGCCCTGCCTTCCGATGGGGCCGCCGCCTCGGAGGAATTGGGAGGGATTGTTTGCAAAATGCTTTGAACGCCACGTCAAAAGGAGTATTTCTTTACCCGACAGTCCACTTCTTGCACCTCGTTTGAGTGCTGGGAAGCGATGCGGCAGTGATGGTGATGTGGAGACTGCCGAGTTCTTGCTGCCTGTCCCAGTTCCGCCACGTGGGCAGTCACGTCCCCTCGGGCTCGGGGTGCCTCTAAAATGGGCTGTAAGAGCCTGGCACACAGGTGCCTTCTGAGCAGTGGAAGGCTTGGCCTGTTGCCGTGTCACACCCTGCTGTGCATGGCCGTAAGGCAGGGCAGTGCCAGGGGCTCCACTGCCTTAAAGCCTGCAGACACCCGCAACCAGGATCTTTTGTCACTGAGTCCAGAGGACTTTAGGACCCAGCTGGCCTTGGCAGCCCCTCTGCCCACCCCCTCACTCAACTGTTGGGAGACCCAGTCCCACCTTTCCTTACCCAACAGGTAGTGTGGGTGGCCTCTGCCCTGATGGAGGAGTGTCCTTTAGCAAGGTGGGAGGGGCGTAAACAGGGCCACTGAGGGTGTCTCCTCCCCCACCCCAGGTCATTCCTTGGGACAGGGATTACCTTGTGCCCCTGACCTATCCTGGCACAGGCCCGCCCTCAGGGGTTATCCTGTCTGCTTCACATGAGCCAAGGGCAGGCGCTTGGCAAATGCAGCTCCTTGCGTTGGTATTAAATGAGTAATTCCACACTTGGGTGGTTTTTCCATTATTCAGTGTGGGCAAACCCTACTGGGAATGAATCCTGCGTTTCATTGATGTCGACTCGTCCAATCCTGGACAGTTTCTCACCTTTAACACCAATGTTTTTCAAAGAGCCTTGGCCTCGGGGCGGAGCTGGTCCTCCCTGTGTGGGGCTCCCACGCTATGGGCAGCTGTCCTGGCCTCTGGTCACCACCACATGCCAGGAGCACTTCCCGGCAGTATGACCCCAAACATGCTGCTTCCACAGCCCTGGCCGAGCACCACTGCAGACACCAGCACGGAACCCGCCTTTCTCCAGGCCTGACTTTGAGCACTCAAGTTCAGCACAACGAAGAAACATCTCTTAAAACTTTGCTGTAGAAACTTTCAAATTCACAAAGAAATTTGTTCTCATTTTAAAGTAATTGCTGGTTCTGTTTTAACCCCCTTCACCAAGAGCAGCCTCAGGAGACCCAGCTCTCCTCTGCAGGGGCAGGCCGGACGGTGTCGGCAGAGGTTCGGGTCCGCTGAGGGGCGGGGCGGGCAGTGGGCGGGGCTGGGCGGGCCTGACTGCTCCTCTGGGCCTGCCCGTCTGTCTGGGATGGTGCGCTAGGTCCATCCCTGCTCCAAGCCACAGGAGGGGGAAGGAACAGCAAGCGAAGGGCAGGCGGCACGCTAGGAGACCCAAAGGTGTGGGTGGACAGGGTTCCACATCCGAGCCCTGGGTTGGCATTGGATAGGGCCTCGCCCGCCCCTGCAGACTGAATCTGGATGAGGGGCACAGGGCAGTGAGGGATCCTGGGAGAAGCCCAGGGCCTTGGTGGGTGCTACATCCTGTCTCTTGACAGGGTCTTGGCTGGTTCCTGCCCCCTTGGGGAGAGAAAGATGCCACCTTTGGTCGCATGTCAGTGGAGAACCTTGGTCTGTATTTCCAGCAGCTGGACTCCCTGGTCTGCCTGGAACTGGCTGCCCCTCTCCTGCCCGGGCACCTTCTAAGACTCCGATCTTGCCTCATCTCCAGAAACCCTGACCAGACCAGGAGTCTTGTTCAAGGCCCTGAAATGGACAAACACAATGGGCCCCCCTTCCTGCCCGCAGCGGCCTCCACCCCAGCAGCCCCGACCTCAGATCCCCAGGGCATAGGGGTCCATGTCCACCCTGCATCAGTGCCCCTGGACCTGACGTAGAGCCGCTGCAGATGATGGGGGGCGGGGGGACATTATGTGTAACTTCCTTAGGAATTGTGAGGCCACTGGGTCACATGTCACGCCTGCCCCCTTCCTGGGAGGGACAGGCCTCTGATCCTTCCTTTGGGGGAGTTGAAGAGTGACTTCTTAAACCGCTGCTGACTCAGATTGAAGCTGGTGTGAACTAACGGCTGAGTGCCTTGGAAACTGCCCGTGGGGCCCCGGGCCCAGCCCCTTCTCCCCCCACACCTGTGTGAGCAGCCCCGCAGGCTGCCCTGCTCCATCAGAGACCTGGATGAGCAGGCGTTAGAAGAGACCATGACAGCCCGGAGGAAATAATCCCTAATGATGGATTTCAGGCACCAAGGATGACAGGAAGGGAGGGGGTGGGCCTGCACTGGGGGACCACACTCCATGGTAGCACCTCAGTGCAGGGTGCCAGGAGGCCGTGACGCGTACAGGTGGCTGGGAGCACGCATGCCCGCCCCTCCCCTCCCCTTCACCATGATCCCCTCCAAGGGGCAAGACGGAGCCCACACTGCAAACCCCCAGAGAGGACCCGAGACCGCTGGAAACCAACATTTTATTGAGCTCTCCTCACCCCTCAGAAATCTACCCCAGCAGATTTTCTCTTTGCCATGGGCATCACAACCCCAGGGGTGTGACCAGCACTCCCCCCGTTGCCCGCTACTGGACCAACCCACTGGAGGACGGCCACGCAGAGTGGGCTGGGGCCGGAGAGCAGTTAACCAGCGAGACCCCAGAGGAATAATGAATTCATCTGTCTTACAAAAAAAAAAGAAAAAAACAAGTATGAAGCCTCGCGCGAGTGTCCCAGCACTCACGAGTTTAAATATAAAAAAGGAATCATAGAAAACAGTTAAAAAGACAACAAAACCAACGAAGGCCACCTCCAGGGTGGTGGTCCAGGGGGAGGGGGCCAGCCCCGCCCCGCACTGCCAGCAGCGTCACTGGAGGAAATGCAGGCTCCAGTCCAGCAGCAGCAGCAGCAGCAGCAGCGCGGACAGCTTGCGTCCCCCGTTCAGGGACACCTGTAGGATGAAGGTGGGGAGAAGTGAGGCCCCCCTCCCGGGCTGGAAGGGGCTTGCTCATTCTACAGCTTGCCTCCAGAGCCCACTCTGTGCATGAGACGGAGGTGACGAGGGAGTCAGCTAAGGTGGGGGCACAGGAGCACCTTATTTCAGAACCAGAGGTCGGGGACAGGTGCACCAGGAAGATGAGGGCAGGAGGGGTACAGGAGGGGCAGGAA